CCAGCCAGACCCTGTTTCAAAACAACAAAATAATCTGTGTTGATAACAGCTGCCACATACTGAGGCCCTGCTGTATCCAAGATGTGTCTCAATGATGCAATGTGTACCATCTTTCTACATCCTTGGGAAGCATCTGGTGGTTGATGGTATTATTCTCACTCCACAAATGGTCACACCCAGAGGCTGAACAGGCTGGGCAGGGACAGGTGCAGGATCCAGGCAGTGCTGGCCAGCTTTCTACCATTGTGACAGATGCCTGGGAAATCCAGAGGAATAGATTTTCATTGGCTTGTGGTTTCAGAGGGTTCTACTCATCAGCTAGCTCCATTGCTTTGGGACTGAGGCAAGGCAGAAGCATGGCAGTTGGGGACTATGATGAAGGAATCAGCTCTCTTCGTGGCGTGAAGGAAGCTGAGGAAAAAGCACATCTGTGGACAAGATAAACCCTTCAAAGGCCCATCTCCAGTGACCTTCCTCCAACTGGGCCCCACCTCCTGATAGCCATTTGCATGAATTCATCACTGGACCCTCTGATGAAGTTGGCACCCTTGTGATGGGATCCTGCCTAACACCACCAGCTGAGGACCAAGCCATCAACATGGGAGCCTTTGGGAATTCTGAGATCCAAACATAGCACAGATCATTGGTCCTGATGCAGCTACTCACAGACAGATCTGCCTCCCACCTCCAAACAGCCTAGTTTAATGCTTTACTTGTCTAATGGAGAAGGTGGTTTTCTGTCTGCATCTGATGTGATCCAGTCTAAACTAGATCTGAGTGTTGCACTAAAACAGTGGTGTGCCTAGATCATTGAAGCACATGTTCACTGTAAGGTGGACTTAGCTGAGACATGTGTTTCCTGTGGTAAGACCATGACTGTGAGGATTGGAAAGGGGGATGAGTCTCACTTTGCTGTCTATACAAATGGTGGCGTTTCCTCCTCATTTCAGTTGTGGACAATAGCAGCAACTGGGCTGTATGTGGGAAGAGCTGTGGTGTCATCTCCATGCCTGTGGCTGCCCAGGCCACTCACAGAGTCCATATGGAAGTGATGCCTCTGTTTGCTGGTTACCTCCCCTTGCCTGATGTGCGTCTGTTTAAGTACCTCCCCCATCACTCTGCTCATGCCTCTCAACTGGATGCTGGTAAGGAGTTTATAGAACGGCAGATGCTCCCCTCCATACATAAGTAGGTCACAACCTGACAACCCGTCCAAGTGGAAAGTACTGCAAGTTGGCTCACTCACTGCCCAGATACCCTGAGCATCTGAGCATAGCCTTGCCCCTCCCCCACTGGGCAGAACCATTTGCACAGAGCTTGTAGCCAGGTGTGGTCACCCACACCTTTAATCCCAGCACTTGGGAGGCAGGTCTCTGTGAATTTGAGGCCAGCCTGGTCTACAAAAAGAGTTTTAAGACAGTCCAAGGCTATTATACAGAGAAGCTCTATCTCGAAGAACATAAATAAATAGATAGACAAATAAAAGTACAGATGTAGATGAGATAGGATTTACAACGAAGCACAGAATCCCCAAATTGTTTACTGTACAGTGTTGTTAGTGCTAGCCTGATGTTCCCTTGCTGAGAGGTGGGGAGGCTGACTGGGGAGTGTAGTTCCAGCCACTATCCAGCATCCTGAGAGGACCAAACTATACTGCCAGTTCAGAGTCAGCACCTGAAGTGTGGTTCCAACTTAACATAGTGTGAAAGCTGTAGGCAGAGCCCTTTTAGACTTAATGGTAAGTTCTGTATTTAAATAGGCTGTAGCTTCATGTGGCAGACTGAAAGTAGAAAAGAATACCTAAACCCCAGTCTGTTGTACTAGTTTTAAAAAAAACACACACAGTAATTCTGTAACGACGTGACACTCAGGTGACTCTCCTGTATCCACGCAACAACCCAGGTTGGCTCCCCCTTTCCTAGGCTCATGCTACGGTGGCTTGGTCTGACTTCCTGTGTATTTCACAGACAGCTGGATAGAAAATGACAACCTGTCAGTGGACAAGCACCTAGATGACCAGCTGGACTGCAGCAGCGTGAGGAGTCGAGGCAGCACACACTCAGCTTCCAGCAGCGAGCACAAAGGCTTGCCCATGCCCCGGCTCCAGGCACTGCCTGCTGGCCAGGTCTTCAACTCCAGCACTGGCATGCAGATCCTGGTCATTCCCAGTCAAGACGACCACGTCCTGGAAGTCAGTGTTACCTGACGATGCCATGGGCCAGTGAAGCCAGAGTGGCCCTGAGTGAGTGCACTTTAGGGATTGTGACTGGATTGTGGTCTGTGGTAACACACTAGCTCTAACCAGACTTTGGCAGACTTGCCTGGCTACAGACACATCAGAGAACAGTGTCCTGCTGCTGCTCAGTGGAGTAGAACGTCACCTCATGTTGTCTGTGACACAGGATTCGTTTTCATTTTTTCATCCCTGACCCTGTCCCGTGCGGGTAAACCCAACTCATCATACTTTCCCCATCAGACTGGTCTCCACCCAGCCTTTCTCTGGGTCCATTTCCGTTTCTTTCAGGTGGACCTTCAGCAGACTCTGCAGAGTCTTCTTATGGCACTGTGTGCCCTTCTGCTCAGACAGCTCAGCCTCCAGGCAACTTGTGGGCCTCCTGAGGGATGAAACACTGTCCTACACTCCAGATTCCCTAGTTACAGTTTTATAGTAACACCTTTTGGGGCCAGGGGGTGGGGTGGGAGGGAACATAACCCCTTCTGTGCCTTGGGATGCCCAGCAGATCACAAGGTCCATCTGTAGAAGCCACATGAAAGGTACTGGAGAGACAACCAGAGTACAGGGAAGTGTGATGTGGAGATGGCTTAGGCTAAGCATTCTGGATCCCTGATTCTCTTAATGTCGATTGAATATCATATGCACTTGGAATTAAATCTATATTTATTATAATTGTTGGATGTGGGGGTGAAATGTTTTCTCTCACTTTAAAGTCTGCTCATGTATTGTAGCTGTATAGTCGACATCTTTTGCACCTTAAGTCTTGGAACTGAAGATGCTCTATCTGGAGTGAAGGTGAGAGAGGTCTCTGTTGGGCTCTGGTCACTCATAAAGAAGGACTCAGGGCCTGGAGGAGCCTCTGCTGGTCCACTGGGTTGCAGTCATACCGCACCAACGGGTTCATTTACTTTTGGTTGTAAATTTGATTGTACATATTGTTGATTTATTATTTTTAAGAGTACAGACTAACTGATGTAATGTTTGTGTATAAGTTGCACCAAAAATCAAGGACAAAATAAATGTTTGTTTTTACTGGTGTTGAAGTCATAGCTTGTAAATACATGATGCTGTATGTATTAAACATTTTCATTCCTCTGAAGTGATGTATTTTTGTACATATGAGGTAGAGTGCTCTGGGTTTGTTGGCATGAGTGGAGATGCACAGCTGTGGCTGTCACCCAGGGACCCAGCCTGGGCACAGGGAATCAGGAGCACAGGCAGAAGGCAGGAGAACCAGGACATTTTCAGTGCTTGTTGTATTTCCTTTTTAACTCAGGACGGTGTTATCCACCCACCCCCACCTCTCTCATTTGCAGGCACTGGAAGAATGCATAAAGAAAACAAATACTGAAACTTATGTGCAGTTTAAAACTAATAAATATGGGCAAGCAAGTTATGCAACATAGAACTTCATACTTACTGAATGTTTACAGTCCTCTGAGATCTGTTTGCTGTGAAACTTGACATTTGCCTGCAGATGTCAAGTCCATGAATGTGGAGGTCTCTGAGACTTAGAAACCTTCCATCTGGTACTTACTGTCAGCCTCCCTCTTCCATGTGTATTGGGTGAACTGCTCACCTTTTGAGAGTGGTGTCTAACCCTGAGTTACTACTCTTTGATTCTCACATTTCTGGGTTCTCTCAAGATTTTTAATTACATATATTTTTAATTATTTTAGAATAAAACAATGGGAAATCTAAAATGTTTGTGGTAGCTCTGTCATCTGGAAATAAGATGAAATCAAATCTGTCAAGAGACTTTTTTCCTCCTCCCCTCTAGCTACCCAGAAACTACATGTGTGTTTCTTTTCGAGATGGGAAATGCCACCCAAAGTCATCCTTGTTTCTCCTATTTGTAGAGGAACTAGGAGACTCTCACTGGATTCTGTTGAAGTAGGCTAGTTTGGTGAAGATGTCTTGGGTATTACACATTGGGAAGTCAGACAGGGAATGTGTCTCAGAAGCAAACCCACCAGTGTTTACAGACAGCTGTTACAGTGTGTAAAAGAAAGTCAGTTATAATTGTGAATTTCCTGGGGTCTCATGTGATTGGAAGAATAACTTCTGATTGTAATGTGGGAATTGTATTTAAGGTCTCCTGCCTATAGCCGCATTGTGCAGTGTGTTTGTGGGTGTCTGAAGTTTCAGACAAGAATAGAAATTCCATGAAGAGGAGATAACTTGGCTTTTTCTTTGTGGTTTAAAACAAGCTTAAGTTTTAAAATGAAATTAAACATACCAGATTTTATCTAAAAATGCAGTTATGCCACCATTTATGAACAAACTAATGCTCTTAAAATAAGCCCTACATGACTTTAAAATTTTATTTCTCATGGAGACTACCTTTCTGTGTAAGACAGCTGGCATCTGTTCTCTGGGACTCGGGCTAGAAAAGGTGAAGGCTGACCTTGACAGTGAAGGAGTTGGTTCCATTTTCACAGTATTCTGTAATATGTCAGAGTAAAGCCAATGTACTAAGATTGTTAAAAGTGTAAGCATTAAAATTCTAAAAATACACATCTTAAGAAGAAACTCCGTTTGAATTTGGTTCTTTTGCGATGGCCCAGTCACAGTCGAGTGTGCGGTGATCTGCTCGCTTTCATAGCTGGTACCCTGGAGCCGGCAGCAGCTGCGCACCACGACCCAGAGATTTGCTCGGCTCTCCGTAGTCCTAAGTGATCTCTGCGAGCCCGTTCGCCGGCGCGCGGGCGCCTGCGTAGTGCCGGCTGGCGGCGAGGAGGGGGCGTGGCCTTTCTCCCCCCTCCCCCCGCCGCTGTGGTCCCGATCCCGCGCCCGGAAGTGCGCGTTCTGCGCGCCGGAGGTAGTTCGGGTTCCGGAAGTGGCTCACGACAGACACCGCACGTGTGGCAGGCTGCAGGATGAAGTTCGCTTACCGGGTGAGCGGCCAGCTAGGCGGGGACGGCGGGAAAGCGCGTGAAGGCTCGGAGAACGCGGGAGAGACCGAGGTCCTTGGCACCTCGGCTTCCTGTGGGTCGGCCCATCGCAAGCTCTTGCTCTTTTCCTAATCACACTGAAGCCCCGGCTCCCTCCAGAGTGGGTGTCTAAGGCTGTACCCAGCCTTGTCCTCACTTTACCCTGTTAGACAATACAGCAGTGGCTACTGAAAGACCCTTAGCACCAAACCTCCAGCCACATCTAGTTCTCTATAGGGCCGCCAGTCCTAGGAGCAGTCTCTACAGCACACGCCTCGAGCTCGCCACACGTCTTAGGAGCCAAGCTCTGCCTAGTGTTATATCGTTGCATGGCTGTCCACCTTACCTACAACCCAGGCCCTGCCCTGGCTAACTCCTGCCTTAGGTTTCAGCCCAGGCAATCTCTCTTAGCAGCTACCTGACTGCACTCCTGGGCTTTGCTGTGTTTGAACATCAGTCCGATTGCCTATGTGCAGTTTCTCTTCATGTTGGATGTAGAACACAGGGTCCAGGTGTCTGCACTGTGCTGTATCGCTGGATGGCGATACTTGCATTTCGTAATTGAATGAGTAGACTGGACGCTGATGCCTTAGCATTGTTTGGTGTGGTGAGCACCTCCTGGAGCCCTGTTCATTGATGCAGCTTCTCTTGGAATGGGGGTCTTATGCCATTCTGTGCCTGGCAAATCCTCTTGCCTTGGGAGTTTCTTACCCTTAATGGGAATCCTGGGCTCCTGAGAATTAGGTTGGGTCCCTGTCCTGCCTAGGGGTCAGCCACTGTGCCACCTCTGCCCAGATGCTTCCCATTTCAGAGAGTTGAAACTGTTTTCTTTGTGTTAAGATGGCTTCGTTTGCTTTACAGTTCTCGAATTTGTTGGGTACAGTTTATCGGTGTGGAAACTTAAATTTCACACGAGATGGAAATTCTGTCATCAGCCCTGTGGGAAATAGAGTCACTGTGTTTGACCTTAAGAAGTAAGTATGGAAAAGCCATGTTAGCAGTGACAACTATAGCCTGCACATGAAGGATAGCTGTCCTGTTAGCCTTCTTCTTTGTGGCTTGCAGGGCTACTAGATTTAGGAGGCCACCGGTCATATCTGTTGGGGTACCCACTTTTCATTTTAGTGTCTAGATACAGACATTACCCTTAAAGGAAAAGTCATGTCATTTCGGCTATTGCCTGGCAAGAAACCTACCTCTTTTGTGAAGGCAGTGGCAGGTAGAAGAGTCATCTCAAAGGTGAGGATGTCCTATCAGGAGAAGCCTCTGAGGACCCCAGGCCAAGTACTTTGGAGAGTTCAGACTGCCCTGGACCCTTGCTCAGTAGCCCTGATGTTTCCTGGCTTCCCTGCTGAGATGATTAGGTCTAGAGTGAGCAGCTTGGCAACCTGAGGTCAGGTTTAGCTTTGTGAGTCCCAGCAAATGTGCTGCCCCCTTCCAGTTTGTCTGGGGATGACTCAACCCCACCTTGGATTGCCTGCTGTAACCCTGTGTAGCCTGGGCAAGAGGCTCCAGTGTTGGAGGCTACTCTTCTTTCTGTTCTGCTTGCATTAGTTAGTTGAATAGGTCTGGGCCCCTGTTTCCAGACTCTGTAGGACAGGGCAGCATGGAACCTCCTCTGCCTGTTGGTGATGACTAGTCAAGTTTCATTAAATATCATCTTCTCAGGGACTTTGGAGAAAGAGAAGCTGTTTATTAAAAAAGACTCAGACAAAAATAATGAAATTAGGATCTAGTTTTGACTTAAAGGCATACACCCCCAGCCCAGTCAAAAAGCCCACTTTTCCTTCTTTGTACTTCCCCTTTTCCTGTTTCTTTAAAAACCTAGAGGTTCAGTGTCAAGCCTACATGGGAGGGCAAGGAATGAACTCTAGCATAAGGGGCCCTGTGGCAAGAGAGTCAACTGTTAGTATAGCCATCTCCCTTGTCTGAGTGCAGGAGACCAACTGTGCACTGGGGTTTTTGTGTTTCTCAGCAATAGATCAGATACATTGCCTCTTGCCACTAAGTACAACATCAAGTGTGTGGGGCTGTCTCCCGATGGTCGCCTTGCAATCATCGTTGATGAAGGTAATCTATCTTGGTGTGGGTAGGCTCTGGGGTGACCCTGTGTCCTTTGTGCTGTGTGACAAGGGTAGCACCAAGGCCAATCTCAACTTAAGAACACAGGTCCAGGCAGTCCATGTCCCATGCAAAGCACCTTCCTGCGTTTCAACGCAGATGTGCTACATCTGGGATCAGATGGCCACAGTCTCACCCTGCCCTCTTGCAGGGGGTGAGGCTCTGCTAGTCAGCTTGGTCTGCAGGTCGGTGCTACACCACTTCCACTTCAAAGGTTCTGTGCACAGCATCTCCTTCTCCCCCGATGGCAGGTGAGAGCATCAGTCTCCTGGCTGGGTATTGCTGTGGGTGCCACTCTGTAAAGAGCAGGATACAGGCCACCGGTCTTGGGCCAGCTATTGTTGGTCCCCCATATCACCTGTGACCCTGTTTCTTCTGCAGAAAATTTGTTGTGACTAAGGGCAACATTGCTCAGATGTACCATGCCCCTGGAAAGAAGCGAGAATTCAACGCCTTTGTTCTGGACAAAACCTATTTTGGGCCCTACGATGAGACCACGTGCATTGACTGGACAGATGACTCCAAGTGAGGCTGGGGGCACCTTGGGCCATCTATCCCTGGAGAGTGCAGTCTCCATGGCTGCATTTTAAAATGTACATGTGCCTCCTTCTGGTTAGGTCTTACCTCCAACAGCAAGACTGAGCTCAGGCTTTATAGTGAGATCTATAGTGTTCTTCCTTCTCAGATTTGTCACTGGAAGTCTCCTAATAGATCTTTATAGAAATGAGTTCCATTCAGTTTATCAAGAGCACCCATGCCAGCTCTGGCTGTCTGGGAGCTGTAGAGCTGCTGAGACCTGGGTCCTTCCTCATACGCTGTCTGATTGTCCTTACCCTTAAGGCATCTGTGGGTTTCTGGCTTGTCTTGGGTGCTGGGGAGAGGTTGGTGGTAGTCACAGGACCTCCCTTGTTCCTGCACACTGGCCAGGCCTCCAGTAAGCACAGAGCTGAGGCTGTGTTGTCAGTGCTCTGCCCCAGCATGCTGCCTCTGCACAACAGCAAGCCCATCCTGTGTGTCTGACTGTGGTTAATAGAAAGCACTTGCTTTAGAGTCTCAGGTTGTATATAAGGTGGAAGGCAGCAGCTCCCATCCGCAGAAAGACACACAGTCATAGGCTGAGTTGTCCTCTAAGCCTCTTATAGGGCATCAGTGGTCTCAACGTTTCTTCAGAGAGAGGCAAGGGCTTATGACCATGAATGGCCACAAGGGTAGCAGCACTGTCATAGGCTCTGAACAAGTATCTCTATTCCAGATGTTTTGTGGTTGGAAGCAAAGACATGTCCACCTGGGTGTTTGGCGCTGAACGCTGGGACAACCTCATCTACTATGCCCTGGGTGGACACAAGGATGCTATTGTGGCCTGCTTTTTTGAGTCCAACAGTCTGGATGTACGTACATCCTTTGCCTACAGTTCCTAACCTGGCATTCCCAGCCTCCACGAGGCTGCCTCTAGGTTGCTTGGGGATCTTTCAGGATTAGTCCTGGCCACTGCCCAGGTTGTGGGGCCCTTGGTGGAGCTGAAATCCTAAAGCCAAACTGGAGGGGGCACTGATAGAAGGGTCTGGGCACCGATGAGTGGCCTGTTTCCAGCCCAGTGCTTCTCTTGCAGCTGTACTCGCTCAGCCAAGATGGAGCCCTGTGTGTGTGGCAGTGTGACACACCCCCTGAGGGCCTGAAGCTGAAAGCCCCTAGGGGCTGGAAGGCAGACCTGCTTCAGAGGGATAAGGAAGAAGAGGAAGAGGACGATGACGAAGAGGAGGGAGACCGAGAAACTACCATCCGAGGGAAGACCATGCCAACTGAACAGGAGAAGGCTGGGAAAGTGAAGTACTCACGGCTGGCCAAGTAGGTCTCCAAGGTTGAATATTCCGGGTCTGTACTCATGACATGGGGACTCTACTGGGGAGAACCAGAGAACAACCTTCTGTATCTGTGAGCCTGGATTGAGGTCCTTAAGTATTGTGTGTAAGATCCTTTCCCAGAACCTAGAGGTCTGACGGGGGGAGGCCTGAGGAGATTGACATGTATACCTGATCGTGGTCACCTGAGAGCAGAATTAATAGCTGAGGGTCACGGCAGCCTTCCTGTTGTAGCTGTTCCAGCTTTACCATTCTCTCTCTCTCTTTTTTTTTTTTTTTTTTTTTTTTTTTTTTTTTGGGCCCTCACTGTGTGCTGGGCTCTGGCCTTGGCCGAAACATATCAACAGGTTTCCATTTGAGAGTTATGGAGGGATTGTATGGCCATGTGGGGTGACAGTGGCAGGTCTGTATTAAAAACACCTGGCATCGGATGGGTAGAGAAGGACAGGGCCATCGTGTCATCTGAGCTGGGAGATAAAATGTGTGGGATGGGAAAGAACTGCTCTACTGTGTCAGGCAGAGGTGGAAGCTAAAGGCTAGATGGACTTAACGTCTCTGAAGTCTCAGGATGTCCCGGGTAGTCAGGACGTAGACTAGGGTGGGGTGTGCTTGGCCTCATCCTAGTGGGAGAGCCTGCGCTGTGCGTGTGGGCAGTGCCAGGGTAGGAGGAAGGAGTCTGTGTGGGGCAATGGGGAAAGGGCTGGGTTGGAACTTGTGAAGAAGAGTCAGGAAATAGGTCGCCTCACCCAGGAGTAGAGGTGCTTCCAGGGTCACTCTCACATGCAGCTAGGACCCTCTAGAGAAGGTAGGCATGCTAGAAGGAAGTGGTGGGCTTCTGCTGCACAGGGCGCGCCTTGCTCCCCGTGTGCCTCTGCCCCAGGTTTCTGGGTGAAAGTGGAGACCCAGACCCACCCTGAGCTTGGGAACAGAGCCCGTGCCCCTCTGTCTGTTAATCCAGGTACTTCTTGAATAAAGAAGGAGACTTTAACAACCTTACAGCTGCCGCTTATCATAAAAAGATTCATCTCTTGGTCACGGGTTTTGCTTCTGGAATCTTCCATCTGCATGAGCTCCCAGAGTTCAACCTCATCCACTCCCTGAGGTGAGTCTGGCTCACTGAAGTGCTTCTGTGCATGCACAGTGAGGCCCAGGGTGAGTGTGTGCACAGCGGCTTCCCACCAACCTTTGCGCCCTCTGCCCCAGGGTACATGGGTATGGTTGTCTGTTTTCTGTCCTTGGCCTTTTCATTCCGTTCTCATTGCATGTGTTAACACAGCATGTGTTAAAGTGCTAGTTCCTCCAGTGACTGCCAGCAAGTGCCAGAGTGCGGGAACTTGAGCTCGTGCGGGTGGGGGAGGGTGCCACAGTGGGCAGGGCTGCCCCTCTGTTCACCCTGCTCTCCCTGTGCTCCTGTCTGCTCAGTATCTCCGATCAGAGGGTTGCTTCAGTTGCCATCAACAGCTCTGGGGACTGGATCGCCTTTGGCTGCTCAGGTTGGTTTCCCTGCTTTGTGGTAGAAGGGAAGGTTCTACCCTAAAGCTGACCTAAAGTTGAGTCTTAGGGCGAAGAGCCCGGTGAAGCCAGGCTAGACCTTGTGAGACCCCAGAGTGCCATGCTGTGTCTTCTGTAGTAGAAGCCAGCTCCCCTGAGAAGAGTGGCTTCCTGTAGCCTGTTGAGCAGGACCACAGCAGTCCTAGATGGCATGTGTGGCAGGAGAGTCACTTAAGGCTACAAATTGTTGATCTTCTGAGGCCCACGCTCTTGCCTAAATGTCAGTCCTTCAACTGCCCCTTGGTCTTGGCCTGAAGCAGGTGCTCATATCCCTGCCTAGCAGTCCTGGACCTGGCCTCTGCTCCAGTCCAGCCACCTGCCCGACTGCAGATGCCTGGGCATCTGCATCCCCATACCTGGGGCTGCCTTCTTACTATGCTCTTAGTGGGTGAGCTCAGAGGCGGCTGACTGCATTGCAGGAGTAGTTGGGAATACCCTGTCCCATGCTGTGTGCAGAGACTAGGGGTAGGTGTCTAGACGGTACCTCAGCTTTCCTGAACCCACAGGACTGGGCCAGCTGCTGGTGTGGGAATGGCAGAGTGAATCCTATGTGCTCAAGCAACAAGGCCATTTCAACAGCATGGTGTCACTAGCCTACTCTCCTGACGGGCAGTATATCGTCACTGGCGGGGACGATGGCAAGGTGGGCAGTGGGCTTCATTGGGCTGAGCTGTGGGTAGGCCAGGTGGGTGGAAGTTTGGCCTTGACTTTTCAAGTTCAACAGCCCCAATGGGCCCCTAAAAGACTTTAACCATTTAGTGGACTTTGAATGGAGAGAGTCTGAGTGTCCCTGTTTCTGACTCTGTGAGGGTGGGTAACAGTGCCAGCTGCCAGCATCTGAAGGGGGGGGCGCCTCAGGCTACAACTCCTATTGCCACCCTCACATACTCTCAGTCTCCACTCAGAGGTGATGGGAGCTGTTGGGGGGCAGGTGGCCTCTCTAGGTATCACCTGGTGTGGCCACTATGCCTGTGTGTGTGGCTGCATGGACAGGGTCTGGGGTGGCTGTATTCGTGACTCCCATATGCCCCAACTATAGGTCAAGGTGTGGAACACTCTCAGTGGCTTCTGTTTTGTTACTTTTACGGAGCACTCCAGCGGGGTCACTGGTGTCACATTCACTACCACTGGCCATGTCATTGTCACCTCCTCCTTGGATGGAACCGTGAGAGCCTTTGACCTTCACAGGTGAGTTACCCCCATGCAAGCACTAGAACTCCACTTCCTGTGTGGACAAGCGTTCAAGAGGTGCAGGTGTGTGTTGGAGTCTACCTTGACCTTATTTTGTTCAGGTACCGGAATTTCCGCACCTTCACATCTCCACGCCCCACACAGTTCTCCTGTGTGGCTGTTGACTCAAGTGGGGAAATCGTCTCTGCGGGGGCCCAGGACTCCTTCGAGATCTTTGTGTGGTCCATGCAGACAGGCAGGCTTCTTGATGTAAGAGCAATCTGATCCCCTGCACCATGGACTTAAGGTGCTGGGTGGCAGGTGGGCCAGCTATCACTGCTATCTCCTTTGGGAAACCAGCGCAGTGGCTGGGACTCAGGGACCTGGGTGCAGAGCCAGGCAAGAGCACAGAACTCCGTGTAGCAAGCAGCAGCAGTTAATGGAGGGCTCGGCCTGGCCTTCCCATGCTCTCTCATTACGGCCTGCATCGGCACTCCAGCACTTCCCACATCCGCCTCTGTTCTCTCTCTGCCCTGTAGGTTCTGTCTGGCCACGAGGGGCCCATCAGTGGTCTTTGCTTTAACCCAATGAAGTCCATCCTGGCCAGTGCCTCTTGGGACAAGACAGTGCGCCTATGGGACATGTTTGACAGTTGGAGAACCAAAGAGACCTTAACTTTAACCTCTGATGGTAAGCTGTGGCTGGGGTCTGCAGACAGGGGCCACGACCAGAGTATTTTCCTCCTGTCACCATCCAGCCTTGATCTTCTCTAGTATGCCTCCTCCTTGATCCTTGTTGAGTGTTTGGCACGAGCTCAGTGGGAGGTGAGAATGATGCTAGACCTCCAGATGCGGCAGCTAGGCCGCCCGCAAGGTCGGTGGCGTGACCAGAGAAAACTGGTTGTGTAGTTCGCTGGCATGTTACATCAGACTGGGAGCCCTAGGACGTTTGTCATGTTCCCTGTTGCTTTCCAGTGCTGCTTTTAAATTAAGCCACCAAGTCCCTGGGAGTGCCTGGAGCAGACTGTGCTTTTGGGAGTCCTGTGTGCTTCCTGCCCCAAATCTGCCCTTAGGTTCTGTCACCTGCTGGATCAGAACACTGCAGCCCTGAGGCTGTCACCCTGTGCTGCCTCAGGCTAATGTTGGTTGTGACTCAATTCCAGCCTGGCTAACCTTTGTCAAGCTTGCGTGTCTTGGCACCAAGCCCCCTCAGCGTCATCACTGAGGTAGCCAGTGATGCTGGTTTGTTCCCAGCTGGGCTGTGCTACCTTCCGGGATCGGTGCTGCTCTTAAGAAATATCCTTGCAGCTTGTCTACAGCTTATCAGGTCTGGTCTCCCAGACCTGATATTGGTCTCTCTCTAGCCCTAGCTGTGACTTTTCGGCCTGATGGTGCTGAGCTGGCTGTGGCCACACTGAACTCACAGGTCACCTTCTGGGACCCTGAGAACGCTGTGCAGATGGGCTCCATCGAGGGCAGGCATGACCTCAAGACAGGCAGGAAGGAGCTGGACAAGATCACAGCCAAACATTCAGCCAAGGGCAAGTGAGTGTTAGCTCTTCTGGTAGGAGTGGGGGACAGCCAACACAGGGCACAGATGCCCCTTTGCCAGCTTGTTTGCTATGTTTTGAGACTGCCTACTCCCTAGTTGAGGTTGGGGGCCTGAGCCTCTATAGCGAAGAGGATGCTTTTGAGGACCTTGAGCAACAGTGGTGTGAGAACCGTTTGCCTCCTGGGGTGTCACTGTGGGGTCCCTACCTGTTCTAGGTGGCTTTGAGCTCACATGTCAGAGTGCTTGGTGTCTGAGAAGCTGTCTTCCACTCAGGGCCTTCACTACCCTGTGTTACTCTGCGGATGGGCAGAACATTCTGGCAGGAGGCATGTCCAGGTTCGTGTGCCTGTATCACGTCCGGGAGCAGATCCTGGTGAAAAGGTTTGAGCTTTCCTGCAACCTCTCTCTGGACGCTATGGAGGTAAGCGGTGGTGTCGGCCTTTCAGCAGGTGCTTTGGCTCCATGGGCCTTGAGGGGGTTAAGATGTTGGCACACGGGATATGGGTATGGCAAAGCAGGAAGGCTGTACTGGCCCAACTGTCCAGAAGAGCCTGCACCCCCAGGGCCTGGCATCTTCCCCGTGTTTGGTAAGGCACAGTTGGTGATATAGGCAAGAGCAAGATGAGGGTGGCTTCTATTCTAGGAATTTCTGAACCGAAGAAAGATGACGGAGTTTGGCAATTTGGCACTCATTGATCAAGATGCTGGGGAGGAGAACGGGGTCGCAATTCCATTGCCAGGTGTAAGAAAAGGTGAGCAGAAGTCCCCTTCCCTGCCCGCCATCCACTTGATGACACTGCTGCTTCCCCCATGGGGCTGCAATGAGAAGTCTGGCTGTTTCTGCATTGTGACATTTTTGCTGGAGCCTGGACTGCCTGGGCTGCTTCCTGTGGGAGAAGGTCCCATCTGTTTGCCCCAGTGATTCAGTGCTGGTAGACTGTCCCAATAAACATGAACACCTTCGTGGAGGCTTCCCCTGGGCCAGCCAGACCCACCTGGGCTGGGCGGAGTGCTGACCCAGAAGAGCCGTCTACTGGCCAGCAGATGCCCTCAGGAGCTCATGCCCTCAGACCTGTGCACTGATGCCCAACTCCATGAGGCCACAGCATTTGTGATGTGGTTCTTGGGCTGCTGGCAGGTGTTGAAAGGGCTGCTTGCTACCTGAACGCTGGATAAGCTGTTCTTTGTAGGTCCCCGTGACTGCCATTGGGGGCCACAGTGGACCTGAAAACTGGCCTCAGAGTGCATAGGTCAAGTAAGTGTAATTGTTTTCCCTTTCCAGGTGATATGAGTTCTAGACACTTCAAACCTGAGATCAGGGTAACTTCTCTGCGCTTCTCTCCCACTGGTGAGCCTGGGTAAACCTCATTAGCAGGTGGTGCTGGGTTTTTTGTCCCCAGGGACAGAAACAGTATTGAGCTGCTGCTGGCAGCATTACTGTCCTGTGAGTAGGAAGTGACTGGCCACATTTACCCTGGTTCTTAACGTGGACAGCCGTGAAATCCTGTCCACGCTGTGTTGAGCTATAGTGGGATCCTGGGCCCTGCCCTTGGGAGTGACAGCCCAGGTGTCCTTTCTAGGAGGCGAATTCTCAGCACCTCAGCTACTGATAGTGCCTTTCCGTCCCAGCCCGCCTCTGTTCCCCCAGTGTGTGCAAGGGACTGCCTGGGCCTGAGGCCTGCTAGGTTTGCGTGGTCCATTATGGCAGCCAAGGCCCAGGGTCCTGAGCCAGTGCTCTGCAGCTCTAGTGGAGGGGACAGGGTGAGGTATGGTGTGTTATCATCTTGTGTCAGACACTTCCTATTGTGGGAGGTAGACCAACTGTCCCATCTGCCCTGTCACACAATTTTGTGGCTTTCATTTCTCTGAGATAGCACCACTGTCGATTGTACATGCTATGTGGATGCACCCTGGGTGTGGGTTGCTTGAGAAACTGTAGCACAAACTGTATGGCCTTCAAGGCTGCAGGTCTGCCCTGTTCTGGGAGCCTGGTGACTCCTGGAACAGCCCGAGGAAATGTGCATCTGTGCTCTGGCTGGGCAGCCACAACCCTGGGAAGGTATCTGCCAGCAGTCTATTGATACTGCTCTGAGTGGGGCACAAATGGGCTTTGAGGAAGTCCCTTTGCTGTTTGTTCCTTTTAGGGCGCTGCTGGGCGGCCACCAGCACAGAAGGACTCCTCATCTTCTCTCTGGATGCCCAGATGCTCTTTGACCCATTTGAGCTGGACACCAGTGTGACACCTGGTCGTATCCGTGAGGCACTACGACAGAGGGAGTTTACCCGGGCCATCCTCATGGCCTTCCGGCTCAATGAGAAAAAATTGGCACAGGAGGTCCTGGAGGCTGTGCCACGGGATGAAAGTAAGCCAGGACCAGCAGCTCTGTCTGCGGGGAGCTCCGGGGGTTCCCTGTTCTTCCTGGCTGTCTTTGCACGCTGAGCGTGGCTTTTCTTCTTTTTACAGTTGATGTGATCAGCGCTTCCCTCCCTGAGCTGTATGTAGAGAAGGTACTTGAGTTCTTAGCTGCCTCCTTTGAAGTGTCTAGGCACCTTGAATTCTACCTTATATGGACTCAGAAGTTACTTATGTCACATGGACAGCGGCTGAAGTCCAGGTATATAATGGTTCCCCCTTGCTCTTTGCCTGTGGGTCAAGTCACCTGGCCATTTGGTCATGGCCACAGGGAAACGTCCCTGCACACACTGACAACATCTTCTTTCCAGGGCGGGGCAATTGCTGCCTGTGGTCCAGTTCCTTCAGAAGGGCCTCCAGCGGCATCTAGATGATGTTTCCAAACTGTATGTCCTTGGGGTTGGTGGGCAGGGCAGGGCATGCGGCTGGTTCTGTTAGGATTGCTCCCTGTGGTGTCTGATTTAGGAACCAAATATCTTGGTGTAAGAGATGCATGTTCTGCTCTCTGCTGGGTGAACAGAGTCCATTTGTCACTCACAGTGGGATATGAGCATGATTATCACCTCTGGGCGTGTCAGACATTAAAGTTGCCCCAGTTGGACAGGTGGAGGTGGGACATGCCTAATGCACAATGAGAGCCCTTTACCCTGGGGATGGATACTTCACATTTGCAGAACCAGGCAGCCTGGCCTGGATTTACATGTCACTTAGGCAGTAAGAGATGGCCACGAATCTTCTTGCCAGGTAGCCTGGATTCCTGGAGTTTGATCAGTGTGCACTTTTCCCTGGTGTGGAGGTGATGGCTGAGTGTAATTACAGTACTTGGATTAATGCTCGTCAGAATGACCCCATGTCCATCCTTCCTTTCATCAGCCCCCTCTTCCAGGTGCTTTTTGGTGATCTGAGCAATTGCCATGTGTTTGGCCAGGCTTATAATGTCCCTGTATACTATTTTGTCCATACAAGGTCCCTGAGAGAGGCTGGCACCTGTGCACTGTGGTCCCCATAGTCCTCCTGATTATCTTTATAATGCTTCTGAGTCTAGAGCAAGCCCTTCCTCCTTGTGCCCTTTCTTCCTGCCTGGTGTTAGAAGTGGTTATGCTAGGGTGTGGCGGTGGGCTTAGCCATGTGTGTGGTGTTTAGCTAGCCTTTCCCTGGCCGATGCACCCCTGACTCCACAGCTCTGAAAGAGAGTACTCTTGCATCTCTGTCTCCTCCTCCTAGCCTTGTTCCTGATCCGGTTTTATTGCCAAGGTGTAGGCATCATTGACTTTGTATAGATTTGTGAGGCAGCCCTGTATAGATAGCCATGGAACCCACAAGTGCAAGGTGCAGATTTTCTTCCTGCTGGGTTCTGCCCTCAACCATGGCTGTAGGAGATAAGATCTGAGACTTCCCCTTAGTCCTGTGACTGTGGAGAGTCAGCCCCCTGGCTCTGTAAATGGCTATAATGGAAGGGCCAGTAAGGAGAGCAGGCCAGATGCTGCCCTACACTGGTGCAGCAGGAACTGAATCAGCCTGAGAGGGGAAGAGATAAGTTTTGGGAATAGTTGCATCCAATCCTGCTGGTGGTGTCAGGATGGTATGTTTGTGCTGACCTAATGTCCTTTGTCCCCAGCTGTGACTGGAACCGCTACAACATCCAGTATGCTCTGGCAGTTTCCAAGCAGCGGGGTGTAAAACGCACCCTGGAACCTTTAGACACAGAAGAGGACACAGATGCTTCTGATGATGACAGTCTTCACCTGCTCAGGAGAGCTGCAGACAATGAGGAAGAAGAGGAGATGCTGGTGTAGAACCCCCATGTCACAGATGCCTAATGAACTGATTGGAGATAGAACCACGGTGCCTCTGAGCCCAGGAAATGAGAGATACCATAAGCCTCAAGAACCTGCAGCTGGGACTCTTCCTGTGAGACTGCACATGCTGCCATGCAGTAGCAAGCCAACCTGTCAGGTCCAGGATGAGGATGAATACGATGGGCACGTGTATGCCATAAGCCCAGAATGTTGGTGTTATGGGAGACTCTGCACATAGACTTCCTGAGAAGTGGGCAGTTTTAGAAGTGTGGACATGTAGAAATCCTACCAGAGATATTTATATTTTTAATATGAACTTCTGAAAGCTTTTTTTTTTTTTTTTTTTTTTTTTTTTTTTTTATATGAGGACTAAATAGCTCAACTTTGAGTGTCTGATGTTTTTGATGTGTCCTGGGTGAGACATTGTCTTCAGGTAAGCAGAGTAGATCAGAGTGCCAGTCTGCTCAGGCCTGTGGCAAAACAGAGTGAGGCAGAAAGTGTGCTGGGTTGACCCAGGAGGGTGGATGTGACAGCCTAAGGCTGGCCAGAAAAGCTTATACAGATCTGTGCCAGTGTGGACAAGTTATGTGGGAGAGGGGACAGTAAAGCCAGTACTTCCTGTTCATTATGGTTGACCAAGTCCGTGTCAGCTCATGAGTAAAGTGATCCACAGGTCACTCATGCTGGAAACTGCCCATCGGCCTCTATGTCTGTCCATGCCACAGGAATGAATCTGTGTAACACCTGATGCACTCAGAGTCATTGCTGTCACACTCAGTGCACCATAACCTGATCCTGGTCACCTGGAATCCACTCAGGCTTGAACACAAATATGGAGAGAAACCAGAGCTCAGCCTGGTGTCATCAGGTTTCATGTACCTGCATAGTGTTTCTGTGTATAGCTTGGATTAGGGTGGGGGTGGGAATCACTTCTTGCCTGCCCAGGGGCAGGATCCTGGCTGCCCAGACAGGGCCTTGTTTTAGTGCCCTCCTGTGCTTTCCATCTGCAGTAGTGAATACAGTTTTATGAAGCCTTACCATTTTTGTCTGTGTATGTAGTACTGAACACGGAACAGAGCTTGGGGTATGACGGGCAAATACTACTGAGCCATACTCCAGCCATCACCCATCTCCAACAAGTTTAAGTACTATACCAGAAATAGGGCTTAGTCACCCTTTGGAGTACCTTACAGGTCTGCTCCTTGGTAACCTTGCTCATTTCCACCCCTGTGGACACCCAGATGCAAATATCCTGATAACTCCTTTGAGTACCTGTGCCCTGGTTCCCAATAAGTGTTGGGCCACCAAGCCTGCTTCTGTATGTTCCCTGGCTTCTTCATATGCTGTACACTCTAGGCCTATTTCCATCATGTGTCTCCTAAACATGAAAGGGCTGCCATCTTGACATAGAAACACCCGGCAGCTGATTTCCAAACACTGTGCTAAGAATCACCCCCAGGAACTGAGAGAAGCCGGGCCTCCTTTGACAGCTTTCAGTGTCAAGGGAGAGGCAGTGAATCTTTGGGAGTTGTCTAGTTAAACAAGCCTTCCATCAACAGCAATCACCACGCCTTTAATCCCAGCACTGGGGAGGGAGGCAGAGGCAGGCAGAATTCTGCAAGTTCAGGACAGCCAGGGCTGTCACACAGAGAAACTGTCTATGAAAACAAAACAATGTTAAAAGGGAAGTGTGCAGGTGCTCAGCTCTTCCTCTGAAGTAGCTGGTACACCATTAGCTAGGGTTGTGCCATGAGGACACAGTGCTTGCTGTGACCCCATAATTTGGGGAACTACACTTAAAAATCAGTTTGTGGGCATTTTTAGTGATTGCATAGAATTGAGCTGCAGTGGCAGTCAGGATGGCCTACTCCAAGATGAGAGCCCATCAAGTGCTAGACAAGCAGAGCATGGCCACCAGCACACTCACAGGAAAGTCCTACCCTAACTAAGCTGGCAACTGCCCAGACTTGCCCTTGCCCTCACAAAACCAGAAGAGGCGTGTCCCACATTCGGCCAGGCATTGGGCAGGTGCAATCCTGCCTACTGGATCCTTATTGCGGGGGGGGGATGGGGGGGTTTCTGAACTCTGCTGCCCGCCAATCCTATGCCGAATAGGTACCGCGGTTCTTGAGCACCGTCGGTCACTGCGCAGGCGCGGTTCCGCCCACCCGCCGTCTGGAAAGGGCATGCAGCGCGCTCCGCCATTGGCCAGCGATTCCGCCCTCCTGAGCGCACAGTAACGCTGCTCTCTTGACACTGCACTGTCCTTCGCTATGGCCGCCGTCAGGGCTCTGGTGGCGCCGAGACTGGCTTCTGCGCTCGCACCGCTCTCGGGGCGCCACCGTGCTCCCTCCCAGCGCGCAGCCCTTCATAGCTCCTCACCGCGGCCCGGGGCCAGGGTGGCGTTGGTGAGTGCACGGCCAGACAGACTCCCAGGCCAACTCCCTCCCCTTGCTCACTCCCTGCAGACTGGGGTCGACCTGCTGGCTTCCCAAGGTCGGCCCCTGCAGGGATTCAGCCTTCCTCTCCCCTTGGCAATTTTATATTGGGCCCTTCGTCCTCGTCAGCGCCTCTCCTCCTGCAGGTGCTGTCAGGCTGCGGTGTCTATGACGGAACCGAGATCCACGAGGCCTCTGCGTAAGTCCTCAAAGTTTGTAAACTCTTGGTTTAAAAGGCAAAAGGGTAACCAAATGCAATGGGTTCACTTCGTGATAAGTTCAAACTCACAATTAGCACAGGCAAGACATAAAAGATGCCACCTCAGCCCCGGGTGAAGGCAGAGTGCCCGGCAGTAGCCTGGGGACCTCAACATACCCAAAATAAAACACATTCTGAGTCAACAGCCGCCTCTGCTCACCATTCCGTAACAAGACTTGTAGAGACCACTTGACACACCTACCTACATGCTCTAGTCCCGCCCTCACTTTGCAGAGATTTGTCAGTGGTAGGTACTGGTTGAAGCCAGCCATGACTTCATAAAAGCAACAAGGTGTTCTATAAATTAGGAATTTCCCCGCACTGGATGAAAGTTCATTTGTAAAGTCATCTAGGCCCGAGTCTGGAGAACAGATTTGGAAGTGACATCTTTGTGGGTTTTCTCCACATAGGGTCCTGGTGCACCTGAGCCGAGGCGGGGCTGAGGTCCAGATCTTTGCTCCTGATGTCCCTCAGATGCATGTGATTGACCACACCAAGGGACAGCCTTCCGAGAGTGAACGCAGGTATGGGTAGGGGAAGGACCATACAGGACCCCTAGTCCCATGTACAGCATGGTTATGCTGACAGCCAGCTGTTCTGGAAATATACCACCATGGGCACAATGAGTCTACCCTTCCAGTGAGTACAGCAATGGCAGTAGTCACTTGTCCTCCCTCTGGATGTCTTCTTGCTGGTCATTGTGTGGCACTGTGTTCCCTTTAGCCAGTTTGCAGCTACGTGTTTCTTTTATTTGGTTTTGGTTTTTTATTTTTTTGACACAGGGTCTGTTTGGCCCTAATAGCCCTGGAACTCACTGTGTAGACCAGTCTGATCTTGAACTCATAGAGATCACCTGCCCCTTCCTTCCAAGTACTCAGATAGTTGCATGCACAATTACATTTCTTTTTATTTTTAAAGATTTGTTTATCATGTATGCAGTGCCCTGCCTGGGTATATGCCTGTACTCCAAAAGAGGGCGCCGGATCTCATTATAGTTAGTTACTGGGAGTTGAACTCACGACCTCTGGAAGAACAGCCAATGCTCTTAACCTCTGAGCCATCTCTCTAGCCCCACAACTACATTTTTTATCTGAGGCCTGGTTGCAGGGTATCCTAAGAGCTGAGATTGAAAGGGAAGGGAGGGAAACTTTAACTGCCAAGGCTGTCTGTTGGAATCCCTGCCATTTCCTTCTCTGTCCAGACCTCTAGCCAGTGATATGCTCCCCACCCCCTCACCCCCCACCCCCCTACCCCGTTTTACAAACCTACATGAGATAGCAGTAGTTTCCTCCTTGTCTCATATTCAGGTGGCTTCAGGCATCCTTAAAGTAATTTCCTAGACAACCCCTCCCTGGTGAGGAACACTGGATTCTGCCTGCTGTGCATACTTAGTGGGCCTCCAGTTCCTATTGACCCCTCATTCCAGGTAACCTGGTGTTGATTATGAGGCCAACCTGCAAAGCTTGTTGTTTTTGTAGGTCACTAGAGGCCTGTCACTGTCTCCAGATGTTGCCTGGATGTTCTAATTGGGAAGCATTCAGCTTCCATGTGTGAGCATGCTTGTTTCAGACTGTGAGCCATGTTTAACATGTGTCCCCAGTGGTATCTATGTCCTGACCCTGCTTACACACTGGTCCTTTGTTTCATCCGTGCTCTTTCCAGGAATGTTTTGGCAGAATCAGCAAGGATTGCCCGAGGCAAGATCACCAACCTGACCCAGCTCAATGTTGCCAATCATGATGCCGCCATTTTCCCCGGAGGCTTTGGAGCTGCCAAAAACCTGTGCGTGTCCAAGTGTAAGGGTCTAGACCACACTTGTGCCTGCTTTTACTAGGGGTGGGATGGAGGCACTTTAGCAAGCCCAGCGTGGTGTTCCAGTGCCTGGAAGCTGTCTGGGTTCACTGGGCAGTCTTACTGACCTCCACACTTGCAGTCAGATCTCAGCAAACTCTGCTTGCAAGTGTCAGTTCATACACAGAGCTGTCCTCCTCCTTTGGTGGTTTGAATGACAACAGCTATAGGCTCATATGTTTGAATGCTTGGTTCCAACTTGATGGAGCAGTTTTGCAAGGATCAGAAGGTGTGGTGTTGTTGGAGGAAGTGTATCACTGCGGGGAGGACCTTGAGGTTTCCAAAGTCCACACCTGGGCCATTCAGGCCCCGCCCCCCTCTCTCCAACTTGCAGATCAGATGTAAGCTCTTCGCTACTGGTCCGATGCCATGCCTGCCTACTGCCATGCTTCATTACATGATTGTCCTGGACTAACCCTATGAAAACATACAAATACCTTTTTATCTAAGTAGCTTTGCTCATAGCACCACTTCACAGCAGTAGAGCAGCAAGTAGGATACCTTCTTCCACTGTGTGGCAACAGAAGAGATAAAGGCCTTTTGTGCTTTGCTATTTGAGCTGTTGTTGTGGGAAATAGCAAATACATTGAAAGCGACAGTCTCTGAATTGGGGTCTTTTCACAGCTCCAGTTGGTTCTTTCTTGAGCACGGAAGTGCTCACGGAAGTCTTTCTGGTGGTTCTAGCCTCAGCATGACCCTGTCTGAGAGGTGGCCACCCAGCTGGTTGTCAGGGAGAGCCTTGAGCAGGCTCTGTAGTATCCTCAGGCATTTCATTGGGCATCCTGCTCCCAAAAGGGAAGGACACGGCTTCATGCTCTGGTGTCACCAATCCACCTTTCTTAATCTGAACGCTCTGGCTGCTTTATTGGGCCATCAAAGTGTTCCTTTTTCCAGATTCTGCACACCTCCTACCTCTTTGGGAGCACCGCCCCCTTCGTCCTGTAACCAGCGTTTCTGGCAGTACCAGCCCTGAGGACCTGTGTGCCCCATCCTCACAGCAGCAAGGCAGGGCATGGATATCACTGAATTTCCTCCCCTTCCATCTAGATTACTGTTTTTTGGAAAGCAGATCTGTGTTCATTACTTCTGCCTGTCAACTCCTGCATAGTGGAAGATTGTCCAGACGCCATGTCTGCCAGCACAGCTGGTCCATCATGTTCACTTAGGAGTGTGGGCTCGGGAGCATGTGAGGTTATTAGTGTTGAGTCTCCATGGCATTTGTGGAGTCTGAGCCTCAGTACCTGTGTCTGAGTCCACTAGCCCCTGTAAGGTGGCTACCACTTTCTTTCTGACCTATTAGAATGGCAGGTCCTCGTTGACACTGCTGTTGAACCTATGAGACCACCGTGCTAGTTGGTGATTGCTGCTATGGTTGAAATGTAGCATGCATGTGTGGCAGCAGGTGGCTAAGCTTTAGTGTGCACATGTAGTGAAAGGTGACCAGGGCTCAGCAAGTATGAGGCTGTGGGTGGCTGGCTTATTAACCTTCAACGTGCAGGCTTTGTGCAGGCTTTGTGTATGCACACATGTCAGCGTGAGTAGCGTGGGGCTTACAATGGGAATCCCATTACTCTGGGCACTGCTGCCATCTTTGTGTATCTTCTGGAGAAGCCCCAGGTATATGGGTGTGTTCATGGCTGCAAGCAGCGCATTAAGTGCTTGTTCTTGCTTTGCTCGGTTAATTTACCTGAGGTTTGCAGCTGAACTGAGAACTGTTCAACAGTGGCATAGACTCCACGTGATGGAGTGGTCAAGGTGCTGTGAGTCATGATCCTGGTGGCTGGGGGTGGGGGGGTGAATGTACGTGGTCAGAGGTCAGCCTGGTCCCTCAACCAGCTCTCCAGGCTGCAGTGCAGGAGGGCCTGGATACTGCGTGCTGGCGGTTTGCTGCCCCTGGATTCTGAAGGCAGAGTGCAGTCATGACTAGCATCTGTCTCTTGCCTTCCACCCTGCTGGCTGGTGAATGAAAGCTGGATACACAGTTATGCATTCAGTGTGATAGCAGGCCATCGACCTGGCTTGTGGCCACACTGTGGGCAGCTCCCTCCTCTGGTGTCCAGTGGGCACTCAGAGATCGCGGGGACACTGCCGAGCAAAGCCTCTCCCTTGTGGCAGGAGCACGTTTGCTGTGGATGGGAAGGACTGCAAGGTGAACAAGGAGGTAGAGCGTGTCCTAAAGGAGTTCCATGGGGCCCGGAAGCCCATCGGGTAGGTGATAGATACACTGAGGTTCAAGAGGATGGCGGAGACGGTGGGAGGGGGGAGGTTCCGGCAGACTGCCAGTGGTGTTGGAACCCAGTAAGACCAGCAGCAGCCTGTGAAGAATGTTGGCATGGGAATGTGGTGGGTACAGCCATGTGAGCCCAGCCCCTGTTCACTAGGCACAGCCGTCCACCTCCTGTGTGTCAGGGCAAAGCTCGCTTTTTGTGTTTGTTTTTGAGACTTACTGTGTAGCTTTGACTCTGGCCTGGAACTCCATATATAGACCAAACTGGCCTTGAACTCACAGAGGTCCATCTGCCTCCTGAGTGCTGGGAATAATCACCTGTGCCACCATGCCCAAGCAGGGCAGTTCACTTCTAAGGGTAATGGTATAAGGCAGAGGTCATTCAGGGCTGTTACCTATGCTAGGCACTCTAGACCAGTGTTCTCAACCTTCCTAATACTGCGACCCTTTAATACACTTCTCATGTTGTGGTGACTCCCAACTATAAAACTATTTCATTGCTACTTCATAACTGTAATTTTGCTACTGTTATGAATCATAATGTAAATATCAGATCCGCAGCATATCTGATATGCGACCCCTGTGAAAGCATCATTCCACTCCTAACCGCCATCTCCACCCCCACCTGCATCCCCCAGTTGAAAGTGCTGCTGTAGACAGACAGTGGATAGCCAGATAGCAGTGTAGTTCCCAGGCCCCTCAGCTTCTCCTTCAGCCATCTCTGCCCAGGGCTGCTCAAGTCCTGATGCCTGACTGCCCAGTACCCCAAGCTGCCCTGTCTGGGGACCAGACTGTCCTCAGTCCCCTCCCTCTCAGTGCACACCCTTTAACCTTACAGCTTATGCTGCATCGCACCTGTCCTCGCAGCCAAAGTGATCAAAGGTGTCGAGGTCACCGTGGGCCACGAGCAAGAGGAGGGTGGCAAGTGGCCTTATGCTGGGACTGCAGAAGCCATCAAAGCCCTAGGTGCCAAGCACTGTGTGAAGGATGTGACCATATCCTTTCTAGCAGCGGTCAGTGTGTCAGGTAGCAAACTAGGTATCGTTTATTTTGTCGTTTAGAGTGTCTGTGGCAGACAGCCTTCTCTACAGGAATTATATTTGCTGGTCGTACCTCAAGGGAACCCCTGGACAAGAAGACAGAACCAGCTAGTGTCATGGGGTGGAACTAGTTTGGTATGCCACAGGCAGGCTGGTAGAACGCTGGCTCCACGCTTGGCCAGGGAGGATCCATGTTTCTGCACTTACTGAGGCTTCTCAACACTAACTCCTCAGCCTGGAGCACACAGATGGGATGCCTGGTCCCACAAGGAGCGCAGGCTAGAGCAGGACTTGTCACTGCTGACCACAGAAGGAAACAAGACCAGTGTGGGAGAAGTGGGCAGGGTTCCTGGCTTGCTCTAGTGGGCCCCTCCATTTCCACAGTTGGAGCTGGCAGGGGCCTGGGCAGGGTGAGTTTTACCACCACCACACCCCACTCCAGGATGTCACACTTTCTCCCTTTTGAGTACCTATGAATGGGAAGCTAGTTCCCCTTGTTTAATTAGGTGACGGTGGTGCCGCAGATGTTAGTGCGATGTTATTGAGCAGCAAAGGAGCTGCAAGACTGAGCACCAGCAGGCTTGTTCCCAGCGATTCCCTGTGGTCCTTCCTGCCGGGTGATGGGTTTTCCTTAACATGTACGCACGAAGCTCATGTAGACCAGAAGAACAAGGTGGTCACGACCCCGGCTTTCATGTGTGAGACTGCACTCCATCACATCCACGATGGGATCGGAGCTATGGTGAAGAAGGTGCTGGAGCTCACCGGAAAGTAGCGCTGCTTGGGCCAGTCAACCTTTCTGGGTCCCGTTCAGCAAGGACACAGGAGTTGCCGTTTTGTTAGAAGCATAGTCGCTTTTTCCTGAAGAAGCAGCTTTGCCTTCATCCATGCCAGGCTTGACCCAGCTCCTTCTACCAGCAGGAGCTCCGAGCTCCTCCATGGACCCCAAGAAGCAGCAGGAGCTTCAGCGGTGGGGGACTTGCCTCACTGTGTATCCCCAGCTTCTCCAGAGGACCTGGTTGAAGCACTTACATTCTACGATCCTAGGTCAGATGGGCCAGAGTACTTCGGTTTCATTTTATCAGACCACTGTCTGGTATTCAGAAATACCTTGTTCATGGATGAAGAAAAGTAAACACAAGCTAACTAAAGCCAGGGAAATTCTGTAGCAGGCAGTCCCTGTGGCCACAGAATAAACTTTTCCACACTGAAAACTGCTTCCAGTCATGTCTCAGGCCTTCTGAAACTAGTAAGTGGTGTACCCCATTATGTGAGGTTTCCATGAGTCTCACATCTGAGTTTCAGGAATGGAGGGGAGGGATCGCCAGCAGTAGTGGCCTCTCTGTGTGGGCCTGCTGGCTGGGAATTCAAAGTTGCCCCAGGCTGTGAGATTGTGTGACCTGGGTAAAGAAAGAAAAGTAACGGACAGTGGTGCACCAGGGGTACCTTCTGCACATGTCCCCTTATGGAAAAGTGTTGGAGTGGTCTGATGGAGGTCTGAGCATACTTCATCTGTTCTAGAACATTCTTCCCTGGAGGGCCAGGCAGGCTCAGCATTGGACTATAAGACTATAAGATTCCTTTAGCTCAGTTATGTCAGATTCTGGGCAGAGGGGGTTAGGCCAGGCAGGAAGCCTCCGTAACAGGCTGTTTGCCATCTCCCTGTACCCGCCCTCTCACGCATGCATGTGCATACACGCGCACACACACAACACACATGTACGCATGCACATACACTGCCACAGGAGAGACACTCTGGCCTACAGCCGTGGAGAGAGTGGCCCTTGCTACTTCTCAGACTGATTCCTCCAGCGGCCATGATTCTTGGGGGTCTGAGCCTTTAGGCCTCTTACCAGGACCCATCATAGTATACACCTATCATGGTTCCTGCACTACTGGCCTGGTCAGCTGAAGAGCCTCCCCAGTCCTCAGAAGTGAACCTCCTGAAGCTTCCTGTATGTGTGCAGCTTCACTTAAGTGAGTTTCCACGGTGACACTACAGGACCAGCAATCCCCCCCCCCAAAGCCCCTGCTTCCTGCCTGCTCCAGTCCACTCAAGGCCATGTGGAGTGACAGCATAGCTTTCCCCATCCACCTCCTGGATACTTTTGCTCCAGCCTCCTGCTCGCCTGCCAGGCCACCTGGCTATATTGAGTTGTCTGATGATGTAAAGGCATCCTCATGGGTCTCCTGTGTTCTAGCACCATGCCTGCCAATAGGATGCTGGGCTGTTTTTCTCAGCAGTTAGTCTCCAGCAGTGCCCAGAATGCACTCGATACTTCTCCCCATTGGTAGATGCACCGTGTGACATATTCACCAGCACTAGGGCTGTCTGGATCTCGACTGGTGGGGGCGGGGGTGTCTCCTGAGGTGTTTGCTGACATTAGTCGCTTCTGTTCCGGCTTGGTCTTCTGGCATTCCCTGGGCAGAGTCTGCCCCACTTGTCTACCTTCTCTCCAGCTAGAGATACGCAGTTACTAACAAATCCCTTGGTAAACAAGGTCCAAGGGTTTCTGCCCTTCACCACTCTCCCTGGGGGTCTGGTGGGCAGGCATGCTCAGGTTGCTTCCTCAGAGGCGGTGTCTACCCCCATCGCGTTCAGGCCAACAGCTTCTTTTTCCCTTGCTGTGCTGTGCCAGCTGAGCAGAAAAGGGTATGGTGGCCTCTGAGCACCCCACGGGGATGGAACCCCTAGAACCTGTGCCCGCTTCAGACCCTACTATGTGGCCTGGGTGTGCTTAGTCCTTAGATGTATTGGGAATGTAGTGTGCCCACAAGTGGAACACGAGCTTAGGAATGACCTGCTGCCTGGACTTGTCCTTTCTCATGTCTGCCACACGCCACAGGTAACAGGGAAGTGAACTCATGAGAGACCCCCCCCCCAAGGGAAAGGTCAGTGCTGTTAGGCACTTGCACTGGAGCCCTGTGGGCACAGTTTCTGCACAGATGTGTCATTGGATTCAGAGTGGCCCCCACACAGAAGTGACTGAGTATGGCCAGCACACTGCTTCCCCAGCACAGCCAGCATAAACCAGATCCTGCGATGTTGGCCTGGGCCATCCCAGTGTCACAGGTGTGCTTAGCTGAGGCCAGGTGGAACCGTGCTGAGCAATACTTTTGGGTGGTGAGGAAGCCCTCAGTGGGGCCCGAAGCAAGAAGTTAGCTGTTGGCTCCTAGAAATGATGGAGTCCCCACTGTCTGTCAGGCATGTACCATGTGATAAGAGACCATGATCCTTTGCCTCCATGGACCTAGTGAGGGCTTATTGGCAGATAGCATGGCGGACACATTATCAGGGAAGTCAGGAGCCCACCAAGAAAGGAAGCAGCCATGGTGAGCGAGAGGGTATGTTTCTGAGGACCAGATTCTTGGAACAAGTCCTGTCCCTAGAGACCCAAGTCCACACAGCTTGTTAGCAAGGCTGTGATTTTTGGTACCACCACCAGGGGGCACAACAGACCAGCCTTAGGACTTTGTGTAGGTTCCCAGACCTGCTCAAGGCCAAGAGCCTGCTAAGCTGCCCTCTGCCACCAACACAACACATCTTCAGGAGCCCTCCTGGGAACCTCACAGCTCCTGCCCCAGATCTACCTCACAGGCAACTCCATCTAAGCCAGCAAGTATCAAAACGAGGGCGTGTTGAGTTCCCAGGGCTCACACTGCTCTACCTGCTCCACTTACCTTCACACCTACCTGCCCCAGCCACCCGAGCACCTGCCTCATCCTCTCTCCACCCACCCCTTTCAGGCTCTTTGAAGCTTGGGCCCTGGAACTGTGACCAGGAGTGGCAAGGGACGCATAGGGGAAAGCTGGGGTCCAATGTGGGTGTGCACGTACTGATAGACATCCTGCTACACAGGAACCTCATGTGTTTATATACAGGGCATAGGGGAAGGTCTCTGTGGGCAGGCAGGCAGTCTCAGGCTGTAAACACCTGAGAGGAGGAAACTGCATTCATTTGCTAGTTTTTGTACATTGTGATGAATGATCATTCATCAACACTCAACATTTGGACTTCAAGGAGAGCTTTGCCACCCCATTGGTCCTCACATAAGTAAGGCTCTGCCACTCCTTGACATGGCCCTGTCAACAATGCACATGCTCTCAGGGTTTCTGAGGACTTCTACTCCCTACACTTCCTTTTCCCATTGGTTCTTTTCTTGCCAGCCTTTCCTGACTGTGGATCCATCACTCAAACCCACTTGACATCACACGGGCAGCATCATGTACACCACGTGTGGCAGCACATGCCTGAAATCCCTGCACTTGGGGCACTTGGGGGGATCCGGAGAGTCTGGAATTCCAGGTCACCCTCAGCTGCAAAGTGAATTAGAGGCCTGCCTGAACTAAAAAAAAAAAAACAACAATAATAATAGTAATAATAAAATTTAGTTTTCCTCTTCTCTGATCAACTGGGGCTTTCCAAGCTTTGCATTGTGCATTTAGGCTTGTGATCCAATCAGAACTAGTGTGAAGGAGAAACATCTGTGCTTATATTCTTGGCTTGTTTGTTTCTGAATTATGTGGTTGGGGTTGTTGTTGTTTTTAATTTATTTTTATTTCATACGCATTGGTGTTTTCCCTGCATGTATGTCTGTGTCAGAGTGTCAGATCCCCTGGAACTTGAGTTACAGACAGTTGTGAGCTGCCATGTTTGTACTGGGAATTGAACCAGGTCCTTGGGAAGAGCAACTGGTGCTCTTAACTACTGGGCCTTCTCTCCTGCCCTGTATGTGATGAAACGTTCTGCACAGTCTCAGTTATTTGAACACTTGGTCCCTAGTTGTTGGTTGTGTTTGAGAAGACTATAGAACTTTTAGGAGGTGCAGCCTTGCTTGGGGAAGTACATCACCAGGGACAGGCTTTGAGGGTTTGTAGCTTCACCCCACTTCCTGATCTCTCTGTCCCATGAGTGATCTCCTGCTCTGGCTTCCTACGGCCATGCCTTCCCCCTGAACTGATGAGCCAAAATAAACTCATAAGAAGCTTTGGTTATAGTGTTAAATCAACAAAACAAACAAAAAGGGAACTAATAATGTAGATATCCACAAACACCACCTTTTGGAAAGACTTTCTTTGCCTCCTGTATTGCATCCACCCTGTCGGTGGGCAAGGTCACCAGGCTGTATTTACAGCAGTCTGCTATGGATGCACAATGCTTTACCATGGCTCTGTCCACTTGTCCACCATAGCATTTCAACTAGACATCACAGCAGGTCTCCATGTTAGGCCTTGTTGCTTCCTGTGGTTCATTCTTCAGCAACGTGTAGGCTTTTCAGTCCACACAGAACCAGTTTACTGTAAAATGACCTACTGGGGTCTCAGCCAGGATAGTGCTGAGTCCACAGATGAGTCTGCCAAACCCTCACCTTGACAAACACAGCCTTAGTGTCACATCTTTGGGTTTTTTTTTGTTTGTTTGTTTGGTTGGTTTTTTTTCCACCAAACCTTTGTGGGTTTTTTCCATATATTTTGCACATATTTTGTTAGGTTTATATCTAAGTGTTTCATTCTGTAGGTACTAGAGTCAATGTAATGTTACTGTATTTTAAATTTCAAATTCTAGCTGTTTGTTGTTGGCCTGTAGGAAAGCAATTGGCTTTGAATTCTGCAACCTTCCTATATTGCTTGTTAGTCCTAGGAGAGATAGGTAGGTGTGTGTGTGTGTGTGTGTGTGTGTGTGTGTGTGTGTGTGAACATGCGCGCACACACCTGTTCTTTTGAATTTTTACATAGACAATCATTTCATCTATAAACAAAGATAGTTCTCAATCTGTGAGACTCTTTCATTTGTTTTTGTTTTCCTTTTCTTGCCTTGTGCTGGCTAGGGTTTCCAGTATGATGTTGAAGAGGAGTGGTCAGAGGGTCATCCCTGCCTCGTTTCTCACCATTACATGATATCAGCTGTTTGTGCTCTTCAGATCTCTCTATTGAGTTGAGAATTGTCACCTCTACCACTCACATGGATGTGATTTTCTTCCGATGTGGATGACATGCCCCAGAACCCTGGCCTTGAAGCAGTTTTTTACATCTGGGCAGTCTCACTTGGTCGTGATGTGATTTCTTTCATACAGTGTTGGCTTGTATCTGCTAACACTGCTGAGGATCTTTGCCATCTGTTGTCGTAAGAGATGATGTGCAGTTTCTTCTTCCGTAATGTCTGTCTGGTTTGGGTATTAGGGAAATGTGGGCCTCACAGATGAAGCAGGACACA